TAAGCCAAAATATTTTTCAGAAAATTAATAAATATTTTCTATATATTTAATCATTCCAAAGAATATTTCCACTACATTCTCCTTGTTAAGAAACAGCTAAGTAGAGTGCACATTCAGTGGGATGCAGAGTAGACTCAATCATTCCAAAGAATATTAAAAAATGTGTTAGAACATTATGAAATAATATGGCAGCATACAGTTAAGTGGTTTATACAATATGAAGAGATATATACACACATGATTACAAATACATTTATTCTTGATGTTCAAGGTTAATACTACACACACACACACACACACACAGGCACACACAGAGTTATGTCAGTTTGATCTAATAATTTGTGGAGCATCTTGCCATCCTATTAATCATAATTCTGTGACTCAATTCTGCCTCAGAATACAAAGTTTTCAACAAGTAAATCTCAGATTCATGCCATTACACTGGGTAATAAAGTCATCTCAGTATATATTCGCCCATAACACTTTTAAAAGTAACAGATTAAAAGTATTAGGAGAGAAAAATAGAAGAAATGGTATTTCTGTTTTAGGATATCACTTCTGAAGTATCTTAACGCTTTCATTTAAAAATTCTCAAAAACCAAAGGCATCGTTTTGTGGGAGCTTATATCTTTAGCTCATGCAAGAAAATGGAAGCTGCCTATATTCTGCTAAAACCAGAGGCATATAATTTCCTAGAACCAGAAAACTGAGTAGTCATTACCAAAATAAACTTGTTTCATCAATACATTAAAATATTTCAGAAGAGACTTTTTAGGCATGGATATGTGGTGAAAACCACACAGTTCTACAGTATCCATAATTACCCAACTGAGTTCAACAGAGGGTCTAGCCTAGCTTTCTGATTCTATTCAACTTTGAAACTACAAAGCCAGTCATGTTTGCTTATATCATCTTTTGTATTTCAACAAAAACACAGGAATATCTGCTGCTCTTCTCACTGAGAACTACTAATGTGAAAACCAAATCTGGTGCGCTAATTTAGACAAGTTCAAAAACCACAGTGCTTAAGCAGCTTCGACAATATACAAAAACCACTGAATAGTTACTTGTCTTCAACTACAAGATTTAACAAGGTTGAATCAATACTATATAGTAGCTTCACCAAAAACTATCTTGCAACTGTTTTAAGATCTCCACACTACAGGAAGCTCACAATTTGCAATTTAGGATAGTTTTTCGGATATACCTACTCTCTGTTATAGCTGCAAATGCTATAGTTTATGACCTACACAAGTGACTTCCCTCTTCTCTCTGCTCATATCTTATTCTGTACCTAATAATCTTCTATTCAGTTATGCATTTGAAACTCTGCTCTTTCATAGAAAAGGACTTGATTCTGTAACTAAACCTTTGATACGATAAACCTTTCAAGTCTGTGTTAAATATTATACTACTAACAAAAAATTATTTCTAGATAACTCCCCACTCTTAAACAACTGAAATTAAGCAGTTTTGATGCTTAAGGTGGTTTCTGAATATGGGGATACACACTGACTAGGTGAAATGGTCCTTTATGTGGGTTATCTACAAAGAAGTTCCCTCTATGGGTAGGGCTATGGCTGTAACTCACTGAGTAGTAAATCAGTTACAGATCATGGCGAAAACTCATTACTCACTTTCAGTTTCTTTGATTTTGTTTTTTTCTGCCAGTCTATTGTGTTTTGTAAGTTCACAGTCTTTACTGAGAAAAATAAAACTTAATACAACTAGAAAAATGATAAAACTCCGATTGGCTTGTTGTTAAAGCCAGCTGTAAATTCTTTAGTGTCTCTTCAATTTGGATATTTTGTGGTGCTGACATTTTCTTTGATCCTCTTACTCTCCTGTGCTGAATTCCTTTTGTTTGTGGATTTTTTTTCATTTCTTTTGTTTTTGTAGATTTTGTTTTTACTGAGACTTTTTGTTTTTCTTCTTTATTTTGATAAGTAGGTTTGTTAACTTTCTTTGCGGTTACCTTGAAATCTATCCTTATCTTCCTAGGTTTGAACCAGTCTATTATTACTTAGTATCGCCTTGCCTTCCACTCCATTAGAAGATTCTATACCTACACCGTTAATTCCCTCTTTTATTGTTCTCATGTTGTTGTCATTTACAGATTAACCTCTCTGGTTCCCTGTTGTACAGTCCTTGAGAGTTCATTTCTTAAGTTGGTATCTGACTGGTACGATCCTGCATCCTAGATTCACCCTGTGGTCTGATGTTGCTTGTTCTCAGAGCAAAGGACTCCCATCAAGCTACCCTAAATCCTCCACTGCACTTCTCTGTCATGCTGTTTAGTAAATGATTCATGCACCCAAATCAACTACTTCAGGAAGGAAGCAACTGGATTTTGAAGTGCAGTCTGTGACACATGTGCAGAACCATCTGGATGTTTATGAAAAAATACAGATTCTCAGACCTTCCTCAGATCTACAAAATCCAAATCATTTTGAGAATCACTGCTAAAACTTCCTAAACATATCTGCATTTTGAAAGAAAGCCTTATTAATTAAATAAATCTCCAAATTTTCAGACAGTGACGAAGTTCAGGACAGAATTAGGTCAGAAAGAATAAATTTCTATCTGGGGCAATCACACTACACATACGAGGTCGCCTCTGCTCTGAAGTCAAGTGAAAAGATGATCTGTCGTTTTCAAACTATAAACAAATTTTAGTATTATAAATAGCAATCATAAGTATTATCACTCATATTCTCTTGTCCAAGTCAAGAATTCTAGCCACTCTTCCTCTTCTCCTTCAGTTTAAATTGTTTTATCTGTTTGATTTTTTTAATGAGTTTTCCTTTGACTTCTTTTTTTAAAAAAAAACTTAACAACCACCTGACAAGAAGGGCAGTACTATTTTTCCCCTTACAGATGATGCAAGATTGAGGCTCAGGGAAATTAAGTAGCTTGTCTAAGTACACAGCTAGGAAGGGACCCCACTAGGAAATGTTAAAACCATAAACCCATGTTCTTTCCACTCCACTATCCCCTCACAAAAAAAACTTTTCTTACCTATCTAGCGACAGCTAAGTATATCTGAGACTTAATTTTTTAAGAGGCACTGGAGCCCAGGTGACACACTGGTTAAGAGCTTGGCTGCTAACCAAAAAGGTCGTAAGTTCAAATCCACTACTCACTCCTTGGAAACCCTATGGGGCAGTTCTACTCTGTCTTACAGGGTGACTATGAGCTGGAATCGACTTGACTCGACAGCAATGGCTTTGGTTTTGGTTTTAAGGCTATCAAACTACACGTTTACAGCTTTGTTATAATATACTTTTCCCAATGTTCTTTTATCCTTTGTTTGATATTCTGTCAACTTTTGAGACACTAGTCTTCTTTGGTAAATGAAAAAATTTCTCCAAGTAGCAATTGAATTAACTACTCATATCAGATACAACTCAAAATACAACTCTATCACACAGAATCCTTGATTGATAAATGTAGCTTTTCCTGTAACAACTGTATTAACAGTAATAGTAATAATAATAAGGATTAACATCATCATCTACTATTATCATTTATTGAACACTTTATGAGTCTGACATTTTCAACTACACTATTTATTGACAAATCTTAAGTGATATTTAGGATGCAGCTATACACAGAGCTATCTGGCTGTGTGTGAAGAACGTCTGCCTATCTTAAGGAGGAGTGTTAAATTAAACCTATCCTCTCAACTAATCTGCGTGTGTAGGTACAACCCAAATTGATTTATTTAGCAGATGGATTTAATACCACTTTTCCTGGTAATAATCAAACTAGTCTAAAAAGGAGCTAATTAAATTGGTAGAAAGTCTCCTAGTTAAGGGGACAAAAGCAGTATTAACACAATGAGAAAACAAGACATATCATCTCCTGTTGTTTCTGTAAACTGAGAAAATGTGAAGATAAGGTGTCAGGTATCCCCAGGGGAGCCTCTATCCAGCTCTTCATCTTCCCTTCCAGCTCAATTTCAAAAGCCAAGCAGCCTTATTCACTTTTATCTTGCCTCCCGTTTACAAACTCACATATCCAAGACATTCTTTCTACAAAGCCCTTTCTTTTTTTTTGGCTTTGAAAAAGAATTGCAGTCAACAGAATCTTCTGTAAACAAAGCACCCTAATCTTGCTATGGTTAAGCAAGAGTTCAACTTAGGGTACTATTTGGCTGATAACACTGACAGGGTAAGGGAAGAAGAAAGTGACTCACTTATGTGTCCTCACTGTTACCCCAAATGCATCTCATCCTGACCCTTTTCTGAGTCCTTCTTCCCCTGGTGAGTTCAGGCCTGTGGACGCTCACTGTCCTCCAACCCTGCTACATGGGGCTGTGGCAGCAGCTAGGGTTTCTTCCTCAGAACTAAGGTGTTCAAGGAAAAAGAGAGAAGAGTTTTCCTCTCAAAAAGAGAGGGGCTTCATCTTTCAATCACTTGAAATCTTATCCCACCTGCCCACTTAACTGTTTTAAAGCATAATCACCTCAGGTATGTTGCTTAAAAATGTTTCCTCTCATTAAAAATATGAGAAAGATTTCGAGAAAAGGGAGACATTTCGGTTATCAAGAGTTTATTTAAATTTTCTAATGATTGCTATTTACATTCTGATATCTACAACATCACTAGGAGACTCAAACCTTACAGACCGTTGAGTTAACCACACAAACTCTAATGACCTATTTTCCCATCCCTTTTCAATTATAAAAGATCATCAATTTTATTCTCTTGCTTTTGTTGGATATTAAAGTAGCAAAAGCATTCTCCAAAGGAAACATATTTTTTAATGTAAAGCAAGTATTCTACAAAAAATGAAACTAACCATGTAGATTAACAACTATTCAACAGGCAAGCCTTACACTACAATATTAAAGTTATCATGAATGTAAAGGAGTCTTTCCAAAAAGAAGCCAAATGGAAGAAAAAAATTATAATCCTGCATTTTAATAATTATATTTGGCAGATTCAAACATGAAAACAAATAACTTTTTGATAGACTCTTAAATACATACTACTTACATGACACCTTGTAGAACTTTCTGGGGATCAGGGTCAAATAGCCTGTCAACATAGTGGCGACTGCTAGCTGTTACTTCCTAGAAAGTGGGGGGAAAAATTATGACATCTGAAGCCATGCACATCACAAATTCACAGCATTACCCACATCAATAGCTATATATTCTAACTTAAGGCAGATGCATTAAAATTTCTACGGAATACTTATTATATGCCTTCTTATAATATGCAATATTAAATAGTGATTTCTCTCTCTCAGGTATTAAAATAGTTGAAAACTGCAATGTTCTTTCAGTTCAAGATGCCAAAGATCAATATTTTTCTAAGAACATCCAATTTTTAAAATTCGAAAGTACTACAAGTTCTACAATGCTTTGAAATTGGCAAAAGAGTTTCAGAAATCAACATAATTAAGACACATATAATAATTTTATTCACTTAAAAGTTAGAATCATAGGGAAAAAGATTAAGTACATTTTTGTAAATAAATTATTAATTCATTCTGAGAAAAGCTTGTGACAAGACAAATAGTATGATGAGAAAGAAGGGAGACACCCAGTTCTTACCAAAAATCTAATGAGACAGTGGGACCTTTGTGGTGAGCCCTGCTAGCTTTGTCAACAGAAGAACTGGGCATATGTTTTAAGAAGCAAGCTAAGTTTGTTAATTACTAACTGCTGGATGTCATATATGTATAAATAATAGATAGGAATGTTGCTTCTGTTTGTACCCACTAAAGGAAAGAAAATCTGGCTCTCAGCCAAGGAAAAAAAGGTGAGGACTTCATGTAACAGTCGACAAGGGGTAGTCTGGGTGCAAGAGGAAGGACCTCAGAATGATGCAATGAAGCAGGCACAAGTAAAGAATAAAACCACAACCAAGGAGTTGTTAGACTTTCTATGAGGAAGAAACAACTAAGGGTTAGGATGATTTATCAGGTCCAGCAAAGCTATTTAGTCTGAAGTGGACAAGGATGGGTAAAGTGGAGAGTTATAGCTTAAGAACAAGGGGAGACATTTATCTCCGTTATTTGTACTGTGGCGTTTGCTCTGTATGTTAACTCTTGTAATACTTTTTTTTTGGCAACATTTAATTTTTACATTTAATTTTCAATACTTAACATTTTTAAAAACAAAAAATGTATGTTTAAAAACCAGAGAAAAAGGAATTTTGTTCCTTGTTCTTTCTTTCTGATGCCTGCTAGAATATGCTTATGAACTGTTACCTATTGGCAATAAATTATTATAGGGAGGAAGAAATAACTTTCCAGTTTACCCAGAACCCTGAATCAATAAAAGGGCTAGTAGGTAAGTTGCCAAGATGCAATGCCAGCCTAAACTTCTGAGTTATCAAAAGTAACACTGAACAAGAACTGTATAAACTCTAGTTCCCGGACAATCTAGTTATCCAAAATTAAAGCACATTTTCATATTAAGAGCTTGTTACCAAAATATCCTCATAACCCCGTAGGCAACTCAAATACCCACTTTTGGAATGCACTGCATTTATAAAGACCAAACAGTGAAAGCAAACAAGCAGAACTGACGGAAATTCTTGCCCCACCAGGGTACCATTAAAGCACTTGTTAACAGGAACTGTTTTCCTTGAGCTTGAAAGCCTACATTTACTCTCAAAATAACAGAATCACAGTTAGAAGGACTCTTAATTTATCTGTCCCAATCCTTTGGTTTACAAATGATGGCTTCTCATGATCTTACCCAGATGCCAGATTGTCAAATGTTAAGTAGGGATGCAAACAACTATACAAATACATCAAGAAACAATATATCTCCTCAAAAAACTAAAAATAGAACTATCACATGACCCAGCAATTTCATTCCTAGGTATAAACTCAACAGACATGAAAGCAGAGACTCAAACAGAGACTTCTACACCAATGTTCCTTGCTGCGCTATTCACAATAGCCAAAAGGTGGAAACAATCTAAATGCTCAGCAATGGGTGAATGGATAAACAAAATGTGGTACACATATACAATGGAATACTACTCAGCCAGCAGAAGAAATGAAGTCTTGATACGTGCTACAACATGGAAGGAGCTGAAGACATTATGCTCAGTGAAATAAATCAATCACAAAAGGACAAATATTATGTGACCGCACTTATATAAAAAGACAAGAAAAAGGCAAACGTGTAGAGAACAGTGTTTACCAGAGGTGGAAGGGTGAGGGAAAGAGGGAGTTAATGGTGATGGAAATATCACACTGATTAAGGGTAGGGTTGCACAGTTGATTACTGTTAATTGCTGTCAATAAGCTGCACACCTATAAAAAGTTGAACTGGAAAAAGTTTTGTGATAATATGTATATACAACAACAACAACAGAGTAGCTGCTGAGGCTGCTTATGAACAGCCAAAAACATCCTGGGATTTGGTTTCTCGATTTGGAGGTTTCGGGTCATGGTTTCATGGGACATCCCAGTCAATTGGCCTAATAACATATTTAGTGCTTCTGTTCTAACTCCTAGTTCAACGCATAATGCCTGGGGTCTTCAAAACTAGTAAGCAGCCATCCAAGGCACAACAATTGGTCTCTTTTTGCCTGGAACAACAGAGGAAGAAAGAAAGTCAGGAATAGGAGGCAGATATGGAATCTGTGGCTAACTGCCTCAATGAACAACTGCCTCCTTTGCCATGAGACCGGAAGAACTGGATAGTATCCGGTTACCATTACTGAACATTTTGATCAAAGATTCCACAGAAGAATCCTGATCAAAAGAGTGGAAATTCAGAAGAGAATTTCAAATGCTCACTGACTGCAGACTTCCTGGAGCCATGTAGGTTGGATGAACCCCGAAACTACTGCCCTGAGATAATCTTTAAACCTTGGGCTGAAAATGTCCCCTTAAGACTTCTTAAAACCAAATAGTGGTTTAGCTTAACTAGTAAAAAGTGTCTGCCTTGAGCATTATGCTCTTAAGAACTATCTACATGGGATCAAATTGACAACAGCAACTCAAAAGATTAGACAGGAATCTTAGGGGGCAGTGAGTTTATGTTAATGGGGAAGAACCAACTCAGAAAAGGAGGGTGAGAATGGTTACACAACGCAAAAAATGTACTTAAATGTCACTAAATGGTACATGTAGAAACTGTTGAAGTGGTGTATGTTTGGCTGTGTATATTCTCAATAACAACAACAAAATAAATAAAATTATATTTAAAAATAAGAAACAATGTACCAAGAGCAAAAGCCATGGTAAAACCGAAAAAAAAAAAAGTATTCTTAAAATACAAAATGGTGAGTTCTGTCACTCTATTTGAGTACATGTGTTTTCCTGGCTTTCTAACAGTAAGCTCTTCTGAGCACCTGAGACCTTTGGTCTCCCTCCTATCCAGGGACTGGTGTTTGAGTTTACTGTTACCCTCTGCACTCCCTCCCCACAGTGCTACATCTCTTAATTGTCAACGTGGTTAAAAAAATGTACTTAGGCTTAAGATCATTATCTCAAACACATATTCCACCCACAAACAGTAACTCTCTTTACTGCCCTGTGCCTGGTTCAGTCAATTCTGCAGGCACTAACTGAGCATCTACTATGTGCAAGGCACTAAGGAAGACATAGGAGGCTTGGTGACGCAGTGGTTAAGAGCCTGGCTCCCCTAGAGAAATAAGAGCTGTCACACTGCAGCACTGCTCACAATAGCAAAAAGATGGAAATAACCTAGGTGCCCATCAACAGACAAATGGATAAACAAATTATGGTATATTCACATGGTGGAATACTACACAACGATAAAGAACAACAATGAAGCTGTGAAACATAATATGGAACAATATGGAAGGCATCATGCTGAGTGAATTTAGTCAGCCACAGAAGGACAAACATTGTATAAGACCACTATTATAAGAACTCAAGAAAAGGTTTAAACTCCGAGAGTTATGTGGGACTCTGTCAAGAGAAATAACCTATGAGTGACTGGAGTACCAGAACAGGGGGGGATAACAGAAAATACAGAGAAAAGCATTGAAGATTTGTTGACAGAAAATTTCCCTGATATCGTGAAAGATGAGAAGATCTATCCAAGATTCTGATCGAAACCCACATAAGGTAGATCCCCAAAAAAAAGTCACCAAGACACATTATACTCAAACTTGCCAAAACCAAAGATAAAGAGAGAATTTTAAGAGCACTAGGGATAAAAGAAAAGCCACCTACAAAGGAGAGTCAATTAGAATAAGCTTGGACTACTCAGCAGAAACCATGCAGGCAAGAAGGCAATGGGATGACATATATAAAGCCTTGAAGGAAAACAACTGCTAGCCAAGAACTATATATCCAGTAAAACTGTCTCTCAAATATGATGGTGAAATAAGGGCATCTCCAGATAAACAGAAGTTCAGGGAATTTGCAAAAACAAAACCAAAATTACAAGAAATACTAAAAGGAGTCCTCCAGTTAGAAAATCAGTAACATCAGATAACAACCCAAGACTAGAACACATGACAGAGCAACCAGATACCGACACAGATAGGGAAGTTGAAAATAAATCAAAGCTAAAACATTGAAATAGGGAAACAGAGATATCAATATGTAAAAAAAGGACAACATTAAAACAAAAAAGAGGGACTTAAAAAATGCAGACAGATTTTTCATATGGAGGGGAAGTAAAGGCGATATAAAGAAATAAAAAGACTGGTATAAACTTAGACAAATAGGGGTAAATATTAAGGTAACCACAAAGGAAACTAACAATCCTACAAATCAAAATTAAAAAAATTGAAAAATATAAAGACTCAGCAAATACAAAATCAACAACAATGAAAAAGATGAAAAAAAATACATGAGGAGAAACAATCAAGCACAGAAAATTAAGGGGAACAGAGAAACTATGAACAACACACAAAAAGAGACATCAGGATGACAGCACTAAACTCATACCTATCAATAATTACACTGAAAGTAAATGGACCAAATGCACCAATAAAGAGACAAGAGAGAGCCAGATTGGATAAAAAAGCCTGATCTGTCTACATGCTGCCTACAAGAGACCCACCTTAGACTTATAGACACAAACAGGCCAAAACTCAAAGGATGGGAAAAAATATATCAAGCAAA